CACCATTAATCAAAAATACTCTCTGGGACTAATCCATAACATCCAGCTGTCAAACCGTCATCAGCACATGCTTGCAACTTAATTGGGGAGGGTGGGGAGCTTAGCAAATGTCTGAGCCCATGCTTGCACATGGCGCGCTCAACTTAGTATTTTCATAAGATGTATCTAACGGAGGACATTCAGTGCAGAACAACAGCCGACCTGTTCTTTTGCTTTGGGTGACGCTCATCCCCCTAACGCCCAGCTGAGTTCTCCCTCTATAAAACCGAGAACTCCTTCCGCTTGAAGGCTTTGCATGTGTCCGTTCCCATCTCTTTGAGCTTCAGAAGATGGCTGGAACGTTGCATGGGGCAGCGAGCGAAGCTTTGCCTGGGCAGCTTTTCTGGTGCAGTGTTGCAGTGATTTGAAACACCCCGTGTCTGTGTTCCTCACCTTTTCATATTGAAAGGTTTGCTTGGAAGACCGGTTAAAAGTTGCCACTTAATGGACTACTGTGTAGTTTACTCGGGGTGGTGAGGGGAAGGAAAAGGTTTTGCTGAATCTTTTTTAACCCTGTCTGCTCACGTTGCACGCTGAACGAGCTAACTGCAAAAACTCACCCTGTAGACTTCAGAGCTGTCTTTTAACCTGCAGCGTGTTCTACCCGGTGCTTGGGTGCGAGCCACCCATGCCAGCTCGGTCCTGGTTATCGGCATCTGACTCGTAACGCGTACCTGTAAGCAGCATCACACATTGGCCTTTTTCTAGTTAGCTTCATGTTCCTCTGGGAGCAGGGGATGTTATTGCTGGGTGTGGTTTTAAACTGGTTTTGTGAGTGGCTTTCTGGGTCCTTGGAAGCTCATGGATCGCTCATCCCAGGAAACGTAGCATCAAAAAAAAAGGGGAGAGGGAACATCTCTCCCTCTTGCTGTGAGCAGTAGTCATCTCTGCGCAGGCAGGAGAGGAAGGGATGTCTCTTGTCTTGCTGTGCTCCGTATACTGTGAAGTTAGCTCTAGAGACCGTGTATAAGTGGCCGTTGAACTCTGAGCAGCTCCAGTTGGCTGGCATCAGGTTTGTGGAAAATCCTTTTCATTTGAAGACCATTTTTAAGTGTTTGGTTTTTTTTTTTTAAATCAACTTTTCCTAGTACCTTCCCCTTCCATCATCAAAGGCAAGGGTTAGACTCTGGCGTTTTACGTTCTTTTTAAGTGATTGCATTTATGTTTAAATAAACCATAGCACTGTCTTCATGTTGTTAATCTGAACAGCACTGGCTGATCGAGTCACTGCTACCCCTCTTAGGGAGCACCCATCCCTGATGTTCAGTTGAAGTGTTACCACTTGTCCCAATATTAAGCTTCCCCTGTTCTTGGGGATAGATGTATTTTCCCCCACCCCCTTCTGTAGCCTCAGTTGCTGCTTTTTTTTTTCCCCCAAGGCCCAGCAAAATAAAGGTTGGGCATCACAGCTGAAGTGTTCTCTGGTGCTTTGGGCCACAGAAAGTGGTGGCAGCTGCTTGTAGCTGTTTTATCTGTCCCCTTCATTGTACCTTTACAGGGCCTGCAGCTGACAGGGCAAAGCTGGGAACCTCAGGCTTTCGTAGCCTGCCCAACTCTCTGTGTTTGGGCTGGCTTCTAACTAAGAGCCTTCAGGGCAGAAAGCCCTTGCTCCTGGAGTATTATCATCCTATTTCAACCCCTTCCAAAGCCTCCCTGGCTGCTCGCCGCAGCATCCCACTGCTCCCGGCTCAGGGGCTGGCCCCAGACCCTGCTGGCAGCTGTGGGCTGGAGAAGGGCTACCTGCTCTCCTGCCCCTGGCTTGTGGTGTCCTTTTCTGTAGGACCATGTTGGCCAACGGGCCTTTTGTCCAGCTCCCTCTTCTGGCCTGAACTCAGTGGCTCTTGCCTCTTCTTGCGGAGGCTGAATGTCTGCACTTAGTCTTTGCCTTCTGGCCTCCGGTTCTGCTGGGACCTTTGTACTGGAACAGCCTGGTCATACATGTGCTGGTTCTTCCCTTACCTACTCTGAAGAGCAGCTCCCATCATCACCAAGGCAACATGAAAACCATCCGAGCCCGGATCTCTGATCAAGCAGATTACTTAAGCTCTTTTGTCTTCCTTGTTCTGGCAGCCTTATGGGGGGCAGCCAGGAGCTTTCCCCCTGATGTGAACACAGGGAAGAAGGTGGTGGGTGTTGATCCGGGGTACATCTGGCCTCAGCCTGGCTCCATACTGCCACCTGTAACACTGTCACTTAATCTTGGCTTCAAATCTTGACGTGGAACACGTTCAGCCACCCAGTCTTTGACGTCTCTGTGACACACCAGCGCACTGCTGGCTCGCCCAAACACAAGCACCCAAGCCTTTTCCACTGGCTGGACCACTGAAAGTGCAAGCCCAGAGCCTGCCCGTGCCCTCCACCAATGGCCTGGAGCTGGTTTCACCCTTCCAACGCAGCCGTGCTGCGTCCCCAGCACACAGGACTTACGGGAGCATGGCCAAGAGTGCTACAGAATAAAGGACCAGGGACTTGCTTTTGCTGATAAAAGCAGATACAAGCGTTGGCCACTGATGGGAGTCCAGGGGCCTCTCCCCTCCTGCTAACCTGGGGTGGCTGCTGCATGGTGGGCACAAGATCGTGGAGGCTGCTCTTCCTAACAACAACAAAAAATTACTTGTTTTAAGCACTGCAAAGCTCACAGCTCCCTTTTGAGTAGTTGCTTGAGTCGCTGCTGGTCTACTGCATGTTGAGTTTTTTGAGTGGTAAAAGCTTCTCGCTGGCTCCCGGTGGCAGAGGCTTCGCTCTGGGGTGCGGCTTGAAGGTTATGTGGCTCCAGGCTTTTCTTGCTCCAGCATCTCCTGCATGTCTTCACCTCCAGCCCAGGTGATGCCCAAGTGTTGGTTCCTCCCTTCTAAGGGCAAGTTAACAACTCCCTCTGTGCAATACCATACTCAATAGCAAGAGAGTGGAGCGTTCCCGCCTCTGCCAGGGCAGGGCCATGAGTTCCCTAAGGGAGAGGGAAAGGATTCAGCATCTGCAGCAACTGATGGAGGGAAAAGGAGTTAAGAGCATCTGCGATGCTGCCCGGGACGGGGACAGGGCACGCAGAGACAGAGAAAGCCATCTCAGGACAGGGTTTTGTGGGACAGCCCTCCTGCCTTCACCCCACGACATACCCCTGGCTCCCAGCACCAGGCAGAGCAGCTCGGGGCGGTGTGGGACCTCTTTGGGGCATCCTTGCAGCCACCAGCGGCTACTGCTGGGCTTGTCCTGCTGCAGGGCAAGGCACTGGGGAAGGGACCCGCAGCGCTGGCCCTACCCACGCTTTCCCAAACACGAAGGCTGGGTCTGACTCCAGGAGAAGTCCCGACCATCCCTCACCCCAGGGTAGATGTTTTCCGTTTAGCCTCAGATGAGATGCAGGAGAACCTGTTTGGTGCCATCATTTTCTGCCCTCCCATCCCACGCCTTTTCCATCTCTTACTGCCCCACGCTGTTGAGCCCCTCTGCTGCCATCGGCCAACTCTGGATACTCACCCAGAAAACTTCTCAAACATCTGTATTAACGACTGCAGGATTGTCCATACTGATGCTACACTAGGAAAACAAAAAAAAGGCTTGATAAAGCAGCATCACTAATTGCTAATGAGCAGCTGCCCTCCTTTGGGAAGGAGGGGGATCCCAGGCTGCTGCCCGCTGCCTGCCGTACTCTGGGCTGTTTGAAGTCTAGTCCTGTTTCTCCGTTGACTATGGGACCTTTCGGAGTCCAACGTTCACGTTGCAGGCAGCGAGCCCTGCTCCCCTCCCCAGTTTTTATGCTGAAGTACGTCCCTGCGGGGCTGGGGAGGGAGAAGGGGCACAGGAGCTGCATCGCCTGTATTTATGTATCTGTCAGTGTTTTGCTTTTGGTTTGGTTTTTTGGGTTTGTTTTTGTTTTGTTGTTTGTTTTTTTAAAAGCTCTGATAATAAATCAGTCCAAGCCACCTGCTTTGTCCTCTCACCTCACCCACTGGCGTTTCCCTTTGCAGAGGGAGTTGAGCTGGTCCCTGGCCTGTCGCACCTTGCACCCTGCAAACAGCACCAGGAGCACCCCTGACCCTCCTTAGGAGCCTGTTAAAAACCTCCGAGCAAGGATGACCCAGGACGGTCAGACAAGACGAGGCTGGAAACAAGAGTTGGAGCTTAGGGAGGGTCATGGAGAAAGCTGGAGCCCACAGCCACCCCACTGCTGGCTCTGTCCCCGTGGCACGGTGGTGGACCTCCCCTGCCACCTGCTCTGGTGCTGTGACAGAGGACACTGAGTGCTGTCCCGCTCCGCTCCCAGGGACGCTGGCTCCAACTGAGCCATTGCTGGTGCCCAACGCCCACCACATTGAGAGCCGGCCTTGGTGGGTACCAAGTGGCCATCACCCCAAGACCATCGCTAACCTGGGTGGTGGGCATGGAGGGGCCCGGAGATGCGACTGAAGGCTCATTTAAGGAGAAACGAGCTCGTTTCTGATTTTGTACAAACTGCTTTAATGACAGAACAGCTGAAAAATACCTTTTGGTGCATTTCTAGTACCATCAAGAAGCCCTGTGTGATCCCCAGACCTGAGTCCCTTCCAGGCCCGGGATCACCCACTGCCTGGAAGGGCAAGAGGCTCTTCTCAGGCACCTTCTCCCAGTGCAACATATCCCAAGGGAGGGGTCTGTCCTCGAGACCACACAGAAACCCCCTTCAAGACCCTCCAACTAAGGACAATTTTCCTCCCAGTCACACGCGCGTGGGCTGGAAATACCTCCGTGAAGTGCTCTGGCGTTGAGGCTCCTTCTCGGTTCAGGAGTGCTTCTGTGGCCACCACCCTTCCCATCACTGAAGCCCTGTTGGCACCCCACTGGGGGAGCCAGGCAGCAGCAGGAGCTTCAGCAAATGATGCTTCCAGACCGAAGCCAGCCCGGCCGAGTCCCTGAGACACCAGATAACGCCCCCGACGAGCGCTGAACCCAACGGGAGGGTTGGAGAAAGCAGAGTCCAAACCTCAGCAACCACTGGGCGACGGGGCAAAGAAATACACAGCCAGGAGGATGAAGTAGACCATCACCAGCACCGTGCCTAGGGCAGACAGAGCAGGTTGCAGGGGGTTACTCCCTGGAGCGAGGAGGGAGGTTGCTTTTAAGATCTTCTGGCATGGTCTGGACTAGCCCACCATAGAGGACTTTTCATGGTCCCCTGCAAAATCTCAAAACTCCCTCTTAAAGGTGAAAAGGGAGCGATCCCCCTTGGTGCTGCTGCAGGGTGGCAGCTCCAACACCTCCAAGATGGTCGACCCAAGACCCCAGAATTGCTCAAGCCACCACATGCCAAGAGCTGCAGCAAGCAGATGACCCCAAGGCTGTCTCCAGGAGCCCCCCCAACCCATCAGCACAGGGAAGGTAGATCAAGTTCCACAGCAGCCTCACGGGTGAGCGGTCACCTTGGAAGTAGTCACATTTGCCATCCATGAAGATGTAGTTCATGAGCACCACGCTGAACATGCTGGCGTAGACGTGGAGGTCGCTGAAGACAAGCGTGAAGTTGGTCGGCTGCGAGGCAGAGAGGATTTGGGGTTTATGGCCAACCAGGACAGCCCCGCACTGACTGTGGTTGGGGACTTGCATGTCACCCCTTAAATCCCCTCTGCCACACGTCCCTAGGGCTGGAGACAGCATCAGCCAAGGTAGGAGACATCTGACCCCCACTTTCCCCTGCACCGAGCAGAGCAGGGGAGACACTGGGGATGGCAGCTGTGCCCTTGCCACATCTCCTGGAGTGCTGCGTGTCCCCAGCCCTGCTGCAGGAGGTCACCCAGGGGCTGTCCTGGAGCTACTCACGTAGAAGATGGTGAAGAGCACCAGGATGGGGATCTGGAGCATGCAGACCTGGACGGCGATGCAGTTCCCAATCTCGATGCTGGGGAGGACAGAGGACTTAAGAGCTGCCAAGCACCAGCTCTCTGGCAGCCCTTGGGTCGCTCAGCTCGGGGCGAGATAAAACCCCACCTCGGGGAACCAAACCATGCAGCCCGACCTGGTTCTGGCCCCATTTTTTGGGTGGCTTTAAGTCCTCTTGAGGCCAAGTTGGCAGGGATCTGACCCACCAGTGGCATGAAGCTGGGTAGCCCATCACTGGCACCAAGGCACAGCTACGGGACTGGGACCATGCTGGAGGAGGACACCCCAAAACCCATCCTTTGAGCCATCTCACCTCAAGCTCAGGTTGTTCTGCAGGGCAAACTGGATGCCGTTGACGATCTCCGGCAGCTCAGGCACCATCGCCAGCACGGTGACACCGATGAAGTACTGCAGGGAAGAGGGGACATCAGCGCATGCGTATGGCCTGATCCTGACCACATCCAAGCTGTGGGCAACCAAGCTCCTCAGTGCATGGAGCATCTCAGCATCTTTCCCCAGGCTTCTGGGGCTCAACCCTGCAGCCAGAGCAGGTTCCCATCCCTGGAGGGCACATCTTGGTCCCCAGGGCCACCCAAACCTGGCTTATCACCATCCCCACGCTCACCTGCGAGATGGTGGAGTTGGTGAGGATGGGGCTGATGTGCTCCGTGGCCAGGTCGGCACAGGCTGACATGCAGAGGGTGGAGAGCAGGAGGATAACCAGGGCCCGCCAGCGAGACCAGTGGACCACAGCGCTGTGGTGGTGGCCAGGCACTGCGGGAAGAGCAGAGACATGGTGGGACATCCCGGGACGGTGAGAAGAGCTCGCCCCGCAGCTGGGGCATCCCGCGGTTTGGGGACACTCACTGTGACAGTCACTGATGTGGATGTCGTAGATGTGCGAGTGAGTTTTCAGGGTGAAGAAGAGGCCGATGAGGTAGGCGGCGGGGAGCAGGAGGGACACTGTGTACACCAGGGGTCTGTGGGACATGGGCGACATGTTCAGTGCCACCGGGGTCTGGCATGGGTACCCCAGGGGGGTCCCCTGCACCAGCTGGGGATGGAAGAGATGAGGGTGCAGGATCGGAGCCCTTCAGGGCGGGCAGAGAGGGGACCTGGGAGGGATGCAGAGCCACAACCCAGCCCGTGAGGTGCCACCCCACTGTGGGGACAACCCTGTCCCCACCCCAGTAGATACTCACTGGACATGACTGTAGAAGAGGGTGCCGTTGTTCTCCATCTGCAGAGAGAGAGCCTGTCAACAGGGATGCAGAGGACAAGGGACGGCCCCGCTGCCACCGCCAAGAGCAGGAGCTAGGCGGGCTTAGAGCGTCCCCAACTCCAAACCCCAGCCGTCAGGGGTCCATGTCCCCGCTCACCAGGTCAAAGTGACAGTTGTGGCAGAGGTAGTGGCCCAGTGGGTTCTGGGTGACGTTGTGGCACTCGCCGCACACCAGCTTCCCATATACCTTGGAGAAGAGCGTTGGGGCAAAGACACCTGCGGGGATGGAGGGACACGGCATGGGTGCCCACGCTGATGGGACACCCCCCCCCCAAACCTGGGGACACCCCTGTCCCTGACTCACCTCCCACGGAGAGGAAGAGCAGGGCTGAGCTGACGCCCGCCGAGCGGCTGTTGAACCGCTGCTCCTGGTGCCGGATGCCCCCGATCACCATGCACAGACCCTTGGGGATGGACAAAGCCCCCCCCAAAAAATCCCCATCAGCGCTTTGCTCACAGCATCCTCCCGGCTCTCTACAGAGACCGGGCGCTCTCGTGCCACCCCGTCTCACCGGGACGAAGAGGACACAGCCCACCAGCGTCCCCGTCAACGCCGACTTGACGATCTCGGCATAGCAGCGGTTGCCCTCACGCGAGCCCTTGATGAGGGCCGTGATGTAGAAGGTGAGCTCCGTGATGGAGCCGAACGTCGCATTCACCACCGCTCCTACCGCGAAGTTGCTCTGGGCAGAGATGCTGGAGGAGAAGGAGGGTGTCAGCGGGGCTGGCACGTGTCCCCACCTTGCCACCAAGTGTCCCCCCCCTGTCACCGCTCACCTGGCAATGGCCATTCCGATGTAGTAGGAGAGAGGCATGATGGAGAGCAGAGCCAACGTGAACTTGACGGGAGAGCTGGTCAGGTGGTTGTGGCTGTCCACGTAGCCCAGCACCAGTGTCACCAGCACCAACGGCAGCAGGTCTGGGGTGGCCGGTCAAGGAGACGACTGAGGTGGGGTGGGATTTGGGGCCAGGCCCCCCCCGTCCCATCACCCTCCAGCCCATGAAAGGATACTGACTGCAAAGACGTTGATGCCATCCACGGCGTATTTGTAGTAGTAGGGGTTGACGGCGCGGTAGCAGCACAGGATCACCTCCCCCTCCAGTGGCACCTCCGTCTGCGGAGGGACAAGTGGGTGACACCGCTCTGAGCGCCGCCCCCCCACCCCAAAATCCACCCGGGAGCAGGGTGCAGGAC